CGCGAGATTAACACAAAACCAATTCTCTAGTTCTGTTTTCGTCACAAAAAATCCGTATTTATTCCCAAATATGAGGAAAATTCCCGCGAAATGAACTTTTTGAGGGTATATTCAGTCGACGATATACTCGGACTACCGCTCACTCGTTGGCGAATACATCAACCCTTGGCTGGCAGTGACAGAGAGGACGCCCTCGTGGAGCTTACCGGTGCCGGTGAGGGCACAGGCAGTGCTGGACTAGACGTGCTGTTAGTGCCGGGCGTGGCGTTCACTATTAAATATGAATATCAATTTTAGAAAAAATATTTACGTTCGGCATCACCTGACTATAAATATTTTAAAATTTTAATTGACTAGTATCATTTACAAGTGTACAAAAACTGTGAGACACTGTTATACCGCAACCAGCAACTTGGACAACACACTTTTTCATATTGTGTAATAAACCTAGTAACAAATTATTTAATTGTTACAAAAATTGTAGACAATTTCATGCGTTTTATTTTGAATGGCAAATTAAAATATTTGTATATTTTACAATATAATATAATGATGTGTACTATTGTATAAATGTAAACTAATTGTAGTTTAATGTTGTTTTGGTGAACACAGGATAAAAAGTAAATGAGTTGCAGTCGTTTGTTGGGGTTTTGCAAAACGTTTTATTTATTTTAATGGTGATCACGAAGGTAAAATGATGGTACAAATTGATTGTAGAAATAATTGGTAACAATTGACTTAATATAAAAAATACAATTGAATGAATGGTACAAATGTACGATTTGGTGAACACAGAATATAAAATAAATGATGAATGCAGTTGTGATGGTGTTTGCAAACAGTTTTATTGAATTAAATGGTGATCACGAAAGTAAATGATAATACAAATTGATTGTAGAAAATGATTGGTAACAATTGACTTAATATAAAAAATACAATTGAATGAATGGTACAAATGTACGAGAGTTGGGTCTAAGACAGACCGTGTATAGCATAAGGCATACATAAAATAAGCATAAAGTGTTTGTGTTTGTGTGGACTTATATAGTCGGTGGGGAACAGAGTTGGGGTCAGTGTTGACCTAAATTGAGTCCACTTATGGGGACTGTATGTATGTGTTTAGTGTACAGAATATGTGAGGGCTATTTGGGACAGTGTAGGGCTTTGTCTGTGAGGTTTGGGTACAATAAACAGAGTTTAATATTGGGGTTAAGTTAACCGAAATTCTGGTGAAAGTATTTCACGAGTGCCTGAAATAGAGAATATGTGGACAATTGGTGACACAATTCTCGGTATTGTATAGCCATTGAGTTTGGCCATAGGGTTTGGGCTATGGTATGGGAGTTATGGTATGGGAGGCGATGGTATGGGAGGCGATGGTATGGGTGTACTGCTGGGCGCACATAGATTAGGGCCAATGAATTGGGGCCGGAATGAAAGGGCACTCACTATACCTTTATATATACTAATTAAACAATTGATTATAAATTGGACTGAAAATTATTCAGTTTATAACATTCTATTTAACTTTTTATGTAATTAAAAGTAACTTATTTTAAAATATAATATGAATTATATTGATAAATTTGCTAGTTTTAATGAAATAATTATTTACTGATGTATTATAATTATCAAGTATTGATGTTTCATAGCCTATCCCAATAAATAATTGCTTAATTTATTAAATAAAGATTTATTATCACTATATGACAAAAATACAGTTGTTAAAAAGTTTGATTAGTTATATAAAGAATTGTCAAATTGATTTAGTTTGTTTATTGTACAAATATAACATATAAATTACATGTTAGATAATATATAATAAAAATCACCATAATTATTTTGCTTAATTTTTACTATGTTTCATCCTCAACTTTGTCAGTGCAGACTTAAACTCATTACCGGCCACTTGTTTGACAAATATCTTAGTTTCTCTGTCCGTCACGTCATGTAATTTCTGGACTTTTCTGTTGTCTCTCAACAAGTGTTTCGTGAATTGCATTGACTTTGGATAACAAGTGTTTATCAAACCAGTCGTCCCGTCAAACACCCACTTCTCAACCCATGAGCTAAACTCGGCTCCGGGTATAACACGTGCCACGAGTCCGCACTGTAGGGCTTCCGCGGCGGTCAGTTTGCGGCCAAACAACAGCATATCTGAGGCCAGAGATGTGCCCATTATTTTAGGTAGAGTGTAAGAACTGCACCCCTCGGCTGTTAAACCCAACGATGTAAACGGTGTTTGAAAATATGCCGCATCGCTGGCCACCACTGTATCCATGAGTGCCAGTGCTGTCACTCCTATACCTATTGCCGGGCCGTTCACAGCACCGATCAATGGCTTTGGGAAGTCTATTAAAGAACTAATGAGTTCTGATATTTCACTCATATCACTATTAGTGCCAGGTTGAGGGTTGAGCCAATTACCTAGAACATAAATTAGATTATCGTAATATTAATGTTTTAGTTATAATTTTATTATTAACTAACTAACAATCTGTGTAGACCAATCATGTAAACAAGTTTTTTTTAACTAAATGGAAACATGAAAGTGGTGATAATGAAAAATAATTTCTTTCTGCAAATTATTTGACTATGAATAAACTGTTAAGTATTATTTCAAATTATTTTTACATCAGGAATATATAGTATTTTTGGTTACAATGGTTACAAACACACACATGAAGTATAATAAATATTATTTGTTTTTGTTTATTAAAAAACAATATTTTTATTTATAGCAAATAAACTATATAATAATAATTGCTTAATAATAATTACTACTAGATAATAATTAACATAAATATTTTAGAATAAAGTACATACCTAAATCATTTCCAGTGGTAAAGTATTTGCCGGCGCCAGTAATCATAGCCATAGTGACCGTATCATCGGTTGCGGCCGATCGTAAGGCTTTGCTAAAGTTTTCGTACATATTAGGCGTGAGTGCATTATGGCCTTCAGATCTGTTTAGCGTTATGGTCAAAACACCATGCTTGTTTTCGGTCAATATTTGTTGATCAGGGCTTCTTACAGGCACTTGAGTAGCGAATGATTTACCACATGCTGATACTGGCAATTTTCCACGTAATGCAAACACTTTTGTTACATTTGCTGCTCTTCCCAATACAATAGACATTTTAATTTTTATATAATGATAATATAGCATTTGAAAATATATGTCACAAAATAATTAATATGTTATTTTATTCATACATTAAAATTAAACAACCAAACATGGTTATTTATACTGTTTAACATTCGGGATAAATATTAAAAGATTATCTTGTTTATGATAATAATTATCTACTTTAGTTCAATAAGAGAAATACAGAGTGTACAGAGTGTACAGAGTGTGTATTGCCAGTACATTATTTTGCAATATAATAATCTAAACGTACTCACTACACTTAGAGTTGTGTAATTTCACACGATTGGGACCACAGTTTTCGTTGTGTGAAATTATAAAATGTGAAATTATAGATAGAAAAGTTGCGTCACTTTTTCATTTGAATATACGTATATATGGTTTTTAAACATTATTTTCATAATAGACTGTAAATAATGGTTGAAATAATGAGTTATTTGTTTGATTCACAAGCCAACATATACACATTTTGGAAAAATATATCTTTTCATTGTTTAACACTAACTATTATACACAAACTTGCCTGAAATCATGAAAAATTGCTTGCATTAAAATGTGAAATTATAAGATGTTTCCTATGCACACCATGTTATAACAATGACATTTCTATGTGAAAGTGACATTATAGAGCTGTGAAATTAGCCCATACTAAAAACATATACCCCAAGATGGGGCAGTGATATTCTGTGAATTTAAACAACTTGTGAAATAACACAATGTGAAAATAAACGACTCTAAGTGTAGTATATTTACTTATGAACATTAAGTACATCTTATAAAGTGTTCTCAATTTGCACTTAAAAGTATTTGTACTCACAGTTTCATAAGTCTAAATTAAATTTAAATGTATTCATTTGTTGCAAACCAATTAAAACAAATCAACAACTGGCATTATCATATAAAAAATATTAATTTCAAATCATGTTTATATTATGCATAACAAAATTTTGATACATTAACAAACTCAACAAGGTGTTCGCGGATATAAACTTTAAGTCTTAAATTACTCTATATTATTGTTTTAATATAACTTATATATTAAATTATACAATATAATAAAAAGTACTATAGGACCAGCAGTTTATTGGTATTAAAATGCAACAAATTTGTTTTATTAAATTTATCACCATTTTTGTAAAATATTAAGATTAAAACTAGATGTTGAATCTGTGGCCAATAATATTTATATTATAGTAACTATATTTTTAAATTTATTTAACAATACAGATAAATTAATAAATCATAAAAAGTAATAATTAGACTTAATGATCTTATAATGTAATAAAACAGTAAAGAATATTATGAATTAATTTTAATACAAAGAACGTAAAAAATAAAACTTAAAATTTGGGGAGAGACTACATTAACGTAGAACAAAATGTACACAATTTTTATTTCTACATAAATAACATGTAATTACTTCAATTAAACATTATATTCATAAATGTTGTTGGGTTAGGTACAGGGTGTTTTCCAACTGCAATGCTATTAATATTAAACTGTAAATAATATTATTAATTATTTTAAATACAACGAATGTAAGAGATATTATATCAACCCGGGCGAAACATCAAATATGAATTAATTGTCGCACAAGTGGTTATGGTTGGCACTATACTGCACCCTACTGCACCCTCTGCACCCCTGCACCCCTAAATATTGGTAAGTATGTATAACTTGGGGCCTGCACCCCATCACTGCAGCCACATAATTGCACCCCCTATTATTACATCATAAAACACTAAATAACACGTTTACAAACAGCAGATAATTCGAAACTAAAATATGTCCAATAATAAAAACATATAATATTAATAATAACAATAATAACATACCGTTTTAATTTGTAATTATAAATATCACAATGATATATATTTTAAAATAATATTTTACAACATGTATTGATAGCTTGCTAAGTCAATATTATGATTTTAATAACTATACTTTGATTTGTACATTTTTATTTATATTTGCAATTTAACCTGGTTAATTTCTTTAAACTTATAATTATGTATTGTAATATACTTTATTTAAATATTTTTTGCATTATATGATTATGTAAATATGATTTAGTCATAGGGGTGCAGGCCCCCACTTCTACATACTTACCTAAATTTAGGGGTGCAGGGGTGCAGAGGGTGCAGTGGGGTGCAGTTTAGTGCCAACCAGTGGTTATCTATTTTTATAAATAATAACATTTAAAAATAATATTTTATTTGATAACTTTATTTTTATTTAATAGACTTCCCAGAGCCTATGATCGGCGCCGTTAACGGACCGGCCATTGGTATCGGGGCTACAGTACTGGCGCTCATCGATACAGTTGTGGCAAAGGATTTGTTAAAAATATAAATAAAGTAAAAATGAAATACAAAACATAAGATTATATAACAAAACAATCATGAACATTCAAACTAACTTAAGAATTGTTCCTATAATTTTCACATGGATCAATCTTCTTAACTTAATGTAACTAGAAATGCAAACGTTTAATTTAAAAAACATTAAACAAATAAATTTTTATATTTAATTATCAACTGTAATTATAATCAGAATTGCATTTAAAAATCATTAGATTATATATAATATAATATACAATTGGACGTTTCACTACTTAAAGTACAATTTATTAAGATGAAACTTAAAACAAAATTTTAGAAACATTATTTTGTGACCAATTTTTACAATGGTAAAACTTGTCGATTGCGTCCATGACTTTGGCGCCGGCCATACGTTCCCGCAGTTTCTCAGTCTCGGCGTCTCTAACGGCGTATAGTTTTGTGAGTACAATGTTTTTATGCCCTAGAGTTAAATAAACGGACAAAATGTAATGCATTTACATTTGAATTGTATAACAGACGACGACAGCCATCATCACTGTGTCGAAAGATACAGTAGCCATAGATTTCATAGGAAGCACATAGGGTGCCATTGCATCGATAATGATAACTAACATAAAACTACAAACAATATATTAAAATAATTCGTATAGTACGGACTCGTGGCACGTGTTATACCCGGAGCTGAGATTAGCTCATGAGTTGAGAAGTGAGTGTTTTGCTCCGGTAATGTTCTAATAATGAAATCAAACTGTATATAATACAATAAATTAATTTTAATACACGGAACAAAAGAAATATTACTTAAAATTTGGTGCCGAAAAGTGCTTGGTAATTATAAAATTAATGTTCATAAATTTTATTAATTACACAATTAATATTTAATTCGTTTAATAATAATATTTATAATATAATGTATAATAATTTGCGTAGAATTTGTAATTGTACAAATAATTATAAATAACAAATTAATTGACGCTAACTTTACGATACTAATAACAAAATAAAAGTCTTACAAACAATGACAAAATATGCAAAACAATTGCAACAATTTATGGCATTCATAGACGGCATACACTAATCTGACATGTGCCCGGCTTGTCCGGGCAAACGTTGACGTGTGCCCGGCTTGCCCGGGCAGACGTTCGACGTTGCCCGGGCAGACGTTGACTTTTGCCCGGCTTGCCCGGGCAGACGTTTGACGTGCCCGCCTTGCCCGGNCGGCTTGCCCGGGCAGACGTTCGACGTTGCCCGGGCAGACGTTGACTTTTGCCCGGCTTGCCCGGGCAGACGTTTGACGTGCCCGCCTTGCCCGGGCATACTATTTATTTGTGCCCGCCTTGCCCGGGCATACTTTTGACATGTGCCCGGCATATCCAGACAAACAGTATTAACCAAATATAACGGTCTTGGCATATCCGGGCCAACTGTATTAATGAAATATAATGAGCTTAGTATATCCAAGACAACTGTATTAACCAAAATAATGGAAACGGCATACAGGAGTTAATTTAACATGATAAAATTTACACAATTAAATATATGTAAAAAATTATATAGTCAAATAATTTCAAAAAATATAGTTTATTATAATTATTTATCAAATATAGCTAGCTAATACAGTTTTCCTGGATATTAAATGGCCGTTATACTTGGTTTATACATTTATCTTGGATATGCCGTGCCCATTATAGTTGACTAATACAGTTTTCCAGGATATTAAGTGACCGTTATACTTGGTTCATACATTTATCTTGGATATGCTGTGCCCATTATAGTTGACAAATACAGTTTTCCCGGATATTAAGTGACCGTTATACTTGGTTCATACATTTATCTTGGATATGCCGTGCCCACTATAGTTAACTAATACAGTTTTCCCGGATATACTAAGCTTATTATATTTTGTTAATACAGTTGGCCCGGATATAACAGTATATTATATTTTGTAACTACAGTTGGCCCGGATATAACAGTATATTATATTTTGTAACTACAGTTGGCCAGGATATAACAAGCCTATTATATTTGGTTAATACAGTTGGCCTGGATATAACAGTATATTATATTTTGTAACTACGTTATATTTGGTTAATACTGTTTGTCTGGATATGCCGGGCACATGTCAAAAGTATGCCCAGGCAAGGCGGGCACAAATGAATAGTATGCCCGGGCAAGGCGGGCACATCAAACGTCTGCCGGGCACGTGTCAGATTAGTGTGTGCCTTCATAGACTTATCAAAGCATATTATTTGCGCCGTTAACGGACCCAATATATTGACCCAGTAGTATCTTGATTACAGTACTAACACTTATGGGTATAATAGTAAATTATTTTTGTTAGTGACTGAAAGACCAAATGCATCTAATTTAATTATGTTCATTAATAAATATATTGAAAACAAATATTTAACAATATAAAAAATAATTTATAAACTGTAATCTAGTAAATTGTTTATTTTTAATTAATTTAACAAATATTATTAGGTAATTTAATGGACTACACTGGAAGCGAGAGCTTTTATTTTGTCGAGTCAATTATAGCATTTCACTGATTGATTTTAAATTGATTATAAAATACATGACTGAACGTAAATTTGATTTATGTTTTTACTTCAAAAATAAATTAATATGTATAATAAATTCTATTTTTAACTAAACATTTTAATTAATAACTTTAATTGATTACACAAAAAATTATTAAATAAATAGCACCAATTAGCAATTTATATTAATTTGGCTAAAATAAATTTATTGTTCAAACTTTCTAGTTATTTGTTTATTTATTATGTTTATTTTTTTAAACAGATTCTATTTTTAAATATTTACTTACATTAAATTACACTATATTAAAATTATTTATACAGTGCACGTGGCACGTGTTATACCCGGAGCCGAGTTTAGCTCATGGGTTAAAAAGTGAGTGTTTTACTTCTGGAAATGTTATTGTAATATAAATAAATTGTAAATAATATTATAAATTACTTTTAATATACAGAAAGCAATAAATATTATTTACAATTTGGTATAAAAGGTTGTGATTATAAAACTAATGCACGTTAATTTTTTAATTGCATAGTTATTATTTAATTATTGTAATAATAATTATAATGTAATGTATAACATTTTTTAATCAACTTTGTAATCATACAAATATTATAATAATTAGAAATAACAAATTAATTGCCGCTAACTTTACAATACCGATGACTAAACTATAGAGTTACTCACTGACAAAATAAATTTTGTATAATTTATGTTAAATGCATACTGAATATACTTTTAATAAAATATAATTTATTAACTGTATAGTATTCTATTAATTATTTTTAAATTAATTTTGAAATGTAATTTATTAAATAAATGGCTTACAATCGAGGGGGGTTTTGATTTTATTTCAAAAATAAATTAATTTGTAAAATATATTTGATTTTTAACTAAACATTTTAATGAATCATTAAATGAATGGTCAATTAGCAATTTATGTTACTTTGTTTAAAATAAATTTATGTTTAAAACTTTGTAGATATTTTATTTATTTATTTATTTATTATAACTAAAATATTCATACTGAAAGGTAGCTAAGAATCAACTTTATTATTTTATGTAAAGAATTATTTTGACATTTATAAATGCAAAAGTATATTAATATTTTGATTTAGATTTCACACGACTCGCAAACTTAGTCATTGCATCCCTGGCCTCAGCGCCGGTCACTCTTTCTATAAATATAAAAAACAATTATAAAAACATGTTTAGTAACCAAATGAAATTCACATTTGAAGCCAAACCTCGTGGTTAATGGAATCTTCAATCTGATCACCATGGTAATCATAATATAATTTATAATCAATTTTGCCAAAGAGTTTAGCCCCGTAAAAGTATAGGTAAAAACCTGTAATCTTATATTTATATACACAAAATATTATAGTAATTATACCATTAATTATAAATTGGCCTAGAAAAAATTAGATAACAATAGTTAAATGTAATGTTTTATATCTCAATAATTCTTTACTAACTTTGTTTTATTTAAATTTCTTTTAAATTGATAATTAAAATTAAACAATTGACATTTGAATTACAAATATTTTATATTAATAATTTTATTCACTTCAGTATATAGTATTTATATAATTATTTGAACAACTGTGCATGGTACAATTAATTAGAAACATAATTATGACAAACTTTTGCAATGATTTATTATGTTTTATAGACTTCCCAAAGCCTATGATCGGCGCCGTTAACGGACCGGCCATTGGTATCGGAGCTACAGTACTGGCGCTCATCGATACAGTTGTGGCAAAGGATTTGTTAAAAATTCATATAAACTAAAAATGAAATATATACTACTAGATTATATACAAAACAATCATAATGAAACAAACTACCTTAAGAATATTTCCATAATTTTTACATTGGTTAATCTTTATAAGTTAAAGTAACTAAAAACGCTTATACTAGTAAGATTGTGTGCGTACATCTAGGCGTACACCGTATTTTAATATGCTTTGTAATTTATACCTTATTCATAGTTTAATCATATATAATGTTAACAAATTAACAAGGTGAATCAGAAACCACGTCAATATTGTTTAGTTCCCTTTAATTTTCGCACTTCTCTTAGCTTATACGCATATTAAAAACATTAACAAAATAGATTTTTATATTTATTTGTCAACTGTAATTAAACAATAATTGCATTTCAGATTTATTAAATTATATATAAAATAATAGACCATTGGTACGACGAAAACAACAATTATAATTTATTAATATAAAACAAACTTTTAGAAATATTATTTTGTGAAACATTTTCCGATTGTTAAACTTGTCGATCGCTTCCTTGACTTCGGCGCCGGCCATACGTTCCCGCAGTCTCTCAGTCTCGGCGTCTCTAACGGCGTATAGTTTACTGATTACTATGTTTTTATGTCATAACAAAATTGTTAGATTAAATGACAAAATGTTATTCATTTACCTCTGATAAGACACTAGTGTTGATATTCATAAGAGGGTCAGTATTTTGCACCGGTAATTATCATTAGTATAAAACTGTAAACGTTATGATAAATTTTGTTAATATGATATATTTAAAAATATGTTGTTAATAATTAAATTTTAGGTAATTGCAATTTTGATTATATTTAATGCAAAATTAATTATTGTAATCATAGATCTTTAAAATAATATTTAATACTGTATTTAGTTTAACATTATTTAACAAAACTAAAATATTTGTTCATTTTATTTATTATATATTAAGAAGTGACAGAACTTTTATTTATTATAAATTATAATACACTTTAAAGGTTGCTATTAAACTAACCATTTGTGTTTAATATAAAATGAACCACAAATTTCATTAAACCCATAATTATAAATTTATAAATTACAATAACAATTACTGTTATACAAATTAAGATTATGTGAACAATATCATAATGAGAGAGAGAGAGAGAGAGAGAGAGAGAGAGAGAGAGAGAGNGAGAGAGAGAGAGAGAGAGAGAGAGAGAAAGAGAGAGAGAGAGAGAGTAAGAGAGATCATATTTTTATGATGCCTAACAATTTTATAAACCACAATACTCATAGTTGAATTGTGGTTAAAATTAAGCAAGGTGTCTGTGTGATTGATTACTTTTAAAACAGCAATCATCATAATTATAAACTGTAAAGAATATTATAAATTCTGTTCAATTCAATGTGAGTAAACCGAGTAAATACAAAATTGGGCTAACTGCAACCACTCGTATATTTTGTTTAATATTTATTTAAAAGTAAATTTATTGAATTTTAATTTAACAAAACAAACAAGATGCTATAATTGGTAAATAAACAATTATGTTTAATTGTAAATTAACATTTAATTAAATTGTTAAAAATGTTGTTAAAAATATAAAGTCTGACATAACATCACTATTTTGAAAAAACTAAAGTTGCAATAAAACTATTTGCAATATGATTAATTGCATAATATAAATATTTATTAATCAGAAACAATAATATTTAAATATTAACAAAAAACATAGTGATAAATTTGTATTTTACTATGATTGTCAAAAAGATGCTCTTTTGTTGAACTAAATATTCCTAATTTAGCATATTTAATAATCATTAATTAATATTTTTCAAAATTTATTAGTAAAACGTTAAACATAAAATTTAATTCAGTGTTCAGCAATTAAAACTTATCAAGATTATCTTGTTAAAATACAAATTTTAGTCATTTATAAGATATTCATATTTAATTTACATATAAAGTTAGAGTTAAAAAATTAAGTTTAATTTTTAATTAAATTTATTAATGTATAAATGTTGAAGTTTCGAATGATTTCTTTGGATATTAAGCAACAATTGGAGTTTATAATCAAAATCCAATGATTTAATTGTTAAATGTGTTAAACGTTTGCATTTGTTGAGGAAATCACCCGTTAAGACAAAGTTGGGTCCAAAGTAACCATAAATTGTCAAACGTTTGATTTGTTTGAAGTATTCATTCAATGTATTAACAAACAAATTGTCAGTAAAATTGGCGATCAATGTTAAAGACCTGATTTGCGGACAATTAATACCAATTTGTTTCATACCATACGCTATGGAGTGAGAATAGGCTTTGGGATCCGTTAGTAAATCCGAGTAAATTATTCGCACATCACGTAATGACCGCATTTTCGACAAACAGTTCATCAGTGTCTTAATGTCTATCTCATCACATAAGTTAACGATTGTCACCGCAATTGATCTCAAAGTGTGGCCATAAGTTTGTGCAAAATTTATAAACTCTATGCTGTTATGTATAGAGAAATAACAGCTAAACTTTCGATACTTTTCAAACAAATTGCGGTTTTTGTCGACAAACATTTGCCGTACGGTTAGACACTTGTCGCCCGTACGGACACGTGTTTGGCATAGTTTTACACACAGTTTGACGCTCGCGTACTGTTTGTTCAAATGTTGTTTAATCCATGGATTCAATGGCAGGCCATTGGCTTCTCGGATGGCCGACGGGATCTGTTCGGTGAGTCTTTCGTCCAACAATTGTATCATACGATCGCCCGATGACTCCCATTGGCGGCCATTCAATGGCATAAATATCTCGTTCAATGGATTCGGCGATTATTTTATGCATTGAAACAATTTTATCGCAAGACAACCGCTTCCTATGATGGTCTCTGATTTCAATGTACAACAAATTAACGCATTTGTGAAGTAATGCACGGATTATGCGCTCGTAATCTACAAACAATTCGTTATACATAAACGGGGTTTGACTGTAAGTACATATGAAATCCGTTTGTGTCGTGTATATTAATCGCCGCCACTGTTTGGACACACATTCGCAGCGAAATCGGTCCTCGAGAGTGAGATAAGACAATATGTGTTCGCACATGTCATCACCGAATCGATCCAAAGAGTCTTTTGGATAGTTTTGCGACATTTCTTGTGTTAATTTTATGTCAGTTTTGAATTTCAAACACCGATTGTCTGTATTTAATGCCAATTAAAACGTGTTTTAAATGAAACGCATTTCAATTAATATGTAAATTTTACTCACGTTTTGTTGTGAATTACAAATACATTAATTTAATTCAAAAACGCATTAATTATTTGCATATTATTAAAGTGTTTATGCATTTAGTCAACACTTAATAATACAACTTTTGAATTAAAAGTAATTGCATTTCAAGAACAGAAAACATATGTTAGTTATGATAACACTATTCATTTCAATGCAAACCATTCCCTCTATTGGCAGCACTTATCAATAAATTTGCATATACAGTAAAAAACCATTTGGGTGAAGTGATTGGGTTTTAGCATTTGATTTATACAAATGATCAAGCTAAAATATAGCATTAAGCGTATTTATTTTTCAATTAATATTCAAAATTACACATTTTAATTGTTACATTAGAAGAAGTCTGAAACCTATTGTCATTCAAAAATATGAAAAACAATTATAAACTGTACTCTATTATAATTGTTTATTTTTAATCAGTTCACAAATATTATTAGTTAAATTATTGGAAAATTTGGGACGCGAATACTTTTATTTTGTTGCATATTTAATTAAAAATGCATCAATTATGTTATACAACAGATTTACCCAGATTAAACTTGTCAAAAGAATTTATTTTAATGCTCCCGTATTTGTCTGTCTTTTGTCAACACTACCCATTCATTAGATACCATTTTAAAAGTCTAGTACATGTATGCCGTAATGTATGAGTGATCCAAATCTACGTTATAAATTATATCCTTGATAATTCATGTTAAATGCAAAACACAATATACATTTTACAACACATAGTTTATAAACTGTATAGTATTTCGATAATTAATTTTAAATTGATTTTGAAATGTAATTTATAAAATAAATAGTTTAACATAGAAGTTAGTTTATGTTTTAATTTTAAAAATAAATTAATTTGTAAAATATACATTATATTTTAACCAAACATTATAACAAATCATTGTAATTGATAACACATTTAACTAATCATTATTTGAATGCCAATTAGAAATGTTTATGTTAATTGTTTAAAACAAATTAATTTTTCAAACTTTGTAGTTATTTTGTTTATTTATTATAACTAGAAAATTCATACTTTTTAAGACTTTAATCAGAACATAATTATTTAAATAAAATAATTATTTAAACTAATCATTGCTAAAATGTGGATATTTTATTTTATAAAAATTTAATCAATTAGTTATCACAGGTTTTGTTCCAATAACTTCGTCCGACTTAAACATAAAATCAGTACATTTGTTAATAATTGATCAATAAATTATCAAGATAAGTACTGACACTTATGGGTATAATAGTAAATGATTAAGGTGAGTAACTGAAAAACCAAGTACGTCTAATTTAATTTTGTTAATTAATAAATACGTTGAAAACAAATATTCAACAATTTATTCAAAAATGGAAAAACAATTAATAAACTGTACTTTATTAAAATTGTACATTTTTAATTAGTTCACAAATATTATTTGTCAAATTAGTGGAAACAACTAATGACGCCAACGCTTTATTTTGTAAATTTTAACTTAATTAAGTCATAATTATTATTTAATCAATTAAAAAATATTTGTTTAAAACTGTAATTAATTTGTATTATTGATAGAAAACACGTCATAAAAGTAATTAAATAAATATTTGGCCCGAACAGTAAGGATGTTAATAATCATCGAGATTAGCCTTATATCTCCATGTATTTTATAATATATTTTTTAATTAGTTATGTTAAATAAGGATACAACAATACATTTTGAGCATTTTAATTTTAAAATGTCTTAATAAACTAATAGTATTTTTGATTTAATTTATATTGTTTATTTAATTTATACATGTAAACTTTATATTAGTCATTCTTTGTATAGAGTTAATCTTATGTAAATTGTAAATTAATTATTGTTAAATTTATTTTAAAATATAATAAACTGTAATGTATATAATTATACACAATTCAGTATCAATAACACTTTGTTGAGTAAATTAATTGGTAAACCAATCAATGTCATTAATATTTTATTAAAAATTTCAAAAATCTTCGTTATTAATTTAATATTTAATATAAAAATAAATTATAAATATAAATATTCAAGCAAAAACTACTTAATTAAGACTATTTTGTAAAAACATCAAAAGTAATATGGTCAAATTATAACTGTAATTTTTAAATAATATATTATTTTATACAATTTTGTATTATATTTAATTATTTATTTGGCTTCCTTACGCATCGACGTGTATTTTATAATAAATATTAAATTTGTATTTATTTAATATATAATAATATAATTATAAACATATATTAAACTAAAAACAATTATTAAACAACATGAAAGCAATTTATAAATCGTACTCTATTATAATTGTTATAAGTATAAGTATTATTTATAACTGTACCATTAAATTTATAATTAAAGAATATTATACTAACTAAATAATTAATCATAAATTGGACACGAACGTTGCACAAATATTAAATTTATAACGTTTTATATAATTTTTTATTGTCATACATGTTAATACTTTTAAAACATTACATTGCGTTTGAGTTGTACCTCACGATCGGGCAATAGTCTGACCGCTTCGGACACCTGAGCAGCGATTGTAAAATATAAATAATTTATATTTTAATGTAATGTTAAAAAGTCTGTGGTGCGGAGTCCCCCCATTAGTATAATTATTAAAATATCATCAATGTTATTATCATAAACTTTGTGATTAAATTACAGTTTAAAATTATTTTATTGCGTTAATATTTTGTATTCATTAGAACCAATTTTAATTCAACAATACAAAGTAAATATTAACGAGGCACAACAATATTCTTCAAATTTACTATCCGTATTAATAATGTTTTATATAAATAATTGTGAGTTTACAATATAAAATTCTCATATTGTTTGATGCACTGATATAAAAGACTAATGTAACTAGTATAACCAGCCAATATTAATAGTTGTTTACCAGGTAGTGTAGTTAGAGATAAAAATCCATCATTACAATAAAATTAATTACAAATATTAATTATTTATATTAAATTTAGCTTATATTATTTATACATAACAATTTGTGAGGTCACTATGATTTAAAGTACACTTATTATATTTTTAATTTATTTATCAAGCTTAATTTATGACGTTCATACAATATTAAATAATTATAATACTGCCACCTAAATCAATTGGGTTCTAGAATATTGTTAAAATGTTATATTTTGATACTAATAATTGTTATCACGTATAATCAAAACTTTTTGATTCAAAAGTATAATGGAAATGTAAAATTATAGTACACTTTATTTGTATAAAAACAAATTATATTTTATATATTTAATCTCTAACCTAAAGAATATTGTTTTTCAACTAATCATGATATCCATCAGGATACTTAAGTACTTGTCTATTGGGATAATAGTCCATTCAATAAGACAAGTATACTTTAATAAACATTGGTAGTTACTATAAGGCACCGGACGCTGGATTAATATTACATTAATTAATTGATATTTTAATTGTTTATAAAATTTATTTTGTAATTTGTAATGATAAATCTATGAAGTTATTAATAAGAGATAAAGAGTGTAGTAATATAAATTTGTAAAGTCTTATTATATAAATGTTGTTTTAAATTGATTTAAAAGCTATTTTATGAACTAAAATAATAAACTGTAAAGTGTTATATTTTATAATTTCATTATATGTGCAAAAGTTTATGAAATTATTATTGGCACATTTGTGATTTTATATTTTTAACCACAATTCAGTATAAATAATGTGGTTTATAGGATCGTTCGGTACCCATCCGGTGTTGTCATTCAACCCACATTGTCGTCATTGTAGGGTATGTTTAATAAGTAAAATTTTGTT